CTCCCACTCTCTCTCTTGCTCCCCCCAAGCGTATCGAAGGGTTCGTTGACATCATGACTGGAAAATTGGCTAGAGAACTCGTGGCCGAGAAAGGTCAGCGAGGATACAAATATAGAAGCACTTGGGCCGACACAATCGAGAGAAGGATGGAAAATTGCTAGCTGTTTCTTGCCACCAGGATCCCAGCTGCGTCTCGTGGAATCGATATATATATATATATATATATATACACACACACATATATATATACGCGAATTATTCTGGGCCGCTATTAACAAATCCAAATCCAACGTTATAATCTGGATCTCAGAAGAGGAAGAATATCGAGAATATCGAGTGCATACATACTGTTCAAACAAAAACTCGTAGTTCCTATCGCGAATCGTGTGTGTATTTTCTCCGTCTCTACGTTATGATTAAATCAGTGACAGAAAACAGACCGGCTAATCCGTGAGCCGTAAAATACCTGCCGTAAAAGCAATAAACATTGGCTCGTCTTAATCTCGAACTTCGTTGAATAAAAAGTGTATAAACCAATCGTATTGTCGTATTTAGTGAAACGATCGTCTTCCACGTGTGATACAATAAAAACTCAACTTCTTAAACGATCAATATTAGTCAAATTAATAATAATAATAATAATAATAATAATAATAATAATTTTCGACGTTGAATAACTCATAGAAATCTTGGGAACGTGTCGCGAGCGAAATAGTCGTGCGTTGAAGGGAGTTGAAGGGTGAGCTCGAGAGCATAGGAGGGTCCCGACTCTCTGAACAGCGGGAGCCTTTCAAGGTGTAGGTTCCTAGTGGTTGGAGGTCTCTTCTGATGGTACTGAGGGTGACTCAGCACCGGTGGACGAGCGCGAACGAGCAGCGCGGTCCCCGCGATCAGCATCACAGTCGCCGTGTCACGTCGTCATGGCTACACGTGCTGTCACCTCGACGATGATCGCGTTTGTTCTCATCCTACTCGTCGCTGGTTGGCCAACAGGCGGACGGACAGGCTTGGTCAAGTTCTACGAATCTATGCCCGATCATCTGCAACCGGACAGGCGAATACCCATCAACGATTATGCGATGCACGGGCCCATCATCGACGACCACGACTTACCCAGGGATCTCAGGAAGCCGTATCCAGGCAAGAGCTTTGGACCAATGGGCCCTATCGATGGCTCCCTCCCGGATGACGTCTCTTTTCGAAGTCTGTCGTCTGGACAGGAGAAAGGGGCGAACTCGATCGAACTTCTGTCGCCTCACGCTGTCGAAAAGATCGAAAAACATAAGCCGGAGTATAAGATCATGTCTGTGGAGTTTCATCGCGTCGAGACACCGTTTGTCATTGGAATATGGATCTTCTTTGCCAGCATCGCGAAAATAGGTATGGAATCTTGAACTTGGAACTTGGTTCTGGTTCAGGGACTTTGATGGTTGTTTGTTGATGTTGTTGGATGGTTGACGCGCGAGGGAGGATCGATGAACCTTTATGGATTTTAACTTTGGATCGAGAGATCGTTCGAAAGGGTTAGAATTTGATTTGCAAATAATATTTCGCGTTTTTTTTTTGTTTTTTTTTTTTGTAATATGGGGACTTGGTAAATATATTCTAAGATGATACTTGAAAGATAGAAAAATTATTGTTGTTTGCTCGAACTAGTTTCCTTTTCATTCCTTATGACAATATTGAGATTTGTTGGATGGAAGATAGAATAATATTTAATTTACAATTGAGGTTTCGTTATTACCTGATATGGATTTTCTTTTATTCCTTGCGATAATATTGGGATTCGTGAATACGGTATAATTAAAAAGTGATAAATAATTGGGATTGATGTTTTGTAAAAGCTAATAATTAAAAGAAATGAAATCGTTTGCTTGGAACAACGTGGATTTTCTTCTCTTTTAATTGATGACAATATTGATATTTTATTAAACGGAACATAAAAGACAATATTTGATTTACGATTTAGCTTTTATTATTGTTTCCCATCGATGATATAGATTTTCTTTTATTCTAAACGATAATATTAAAATTTATGAAAGGTAATAGATATAGATATTGAAAAATAAATTTCTAAAATAATTGAGATTAGCTAAATATTTTATAAAAGAGAATAATTAGAAGACAGAAGATAGATTTCATTGTTTGGTTGAAATAACTTTTCTATAATTTCCGGAACACGATATATAGTTGATAGATAATTTTTTATAAAAACATTGAAACAAAATTGCAGCAAATATTGAAAATTATCGAAGTGGAAACGTACGACCGAATTTTAATCCGATTTGTTCGAATATACATTTCTCTGTATGTTTATTCGTATATTTATAAAACAATGATAAAATCGTAGCGTGTTTTCTATTGTTTGAAAAATTCAAACGAATGCAAATAAATTTCACGGATAAATCCTATAAATTATTCAAATATTCTTTTATTTTTCTCTTTTTAATAAATAATTTATAGAAAATACTTATCCGTTTTTATTATTTGGAATAATTTTAACTAGTGTTAAATAGATCGATTGTCTCATGATTTGTATAAAGTATAAAGTCCACTCATGAATATTACCATTGATATAAATGATTATTGGATATTAGATTCATATTAAACTCTATAAATAGAGGTACATTGTGTTACATTCTACTATATTTCGAATCGGTGTAAAGCATCCCCATTGCGAAATAGGAGAGAATAATACAACAGTATCGATAATACACTGTTCAGAGACCTTAATAGAACATCCACAAACTGGAGATTCAAATAACAGAGGTTCTACTTGTTTCTCAATCGATCGTGTTTGTAACGTGCACGTGAACTACTATACTCATACAATATGGCTTTTTATAGATTCTATATATTTTGCAAGAATAAAAACCAATAATTCTATCTTGTATTTGACATTAATGTCTGTAAGATATCACGTATGCACTTTAAAAATGCATTTAAATATTATTTTTTAATTGCTTAATTTAAAATGTTCAAAAATAAATATTATAGTGGGAAAATATACCTCATATTTCTTTAATTTTTATAAGAAATGAAAAAATTTAAGAGTCTATCGATCAATTTCATTATCAGAATTGTATTTGTCATGTAGATATATTTATTTGATTTTTAACATTATATAAATATTGTTTGTTATAGCAGCAATTATATGATTATATGTCTTCTTCAAAAGTTTAGACTTAATTTATCGAAGACTTGTATCTTTGACCCTAAAAGAATGTTCCCATTTCCAACTAGGTCATATTAACCTTTTCACGCTTGATGTTGCGTACACGCAACATTATACACTACAAATATTTATTAGTCAAACGACGAGAGCATTTATTTTTTTTATTATTAATATAGATTCAGTGAAATGAGATTCAGAAATAATGCATTTTTAAAGTTAATAAATAATGAAAAAACGATTCTTTTTAAAGATGGAAAAGAATTTAATTTTAAAAAGATTAAAGCATTAAATTTTTTTAATTAAAATGGCATATAAAAATGAAAAAATTGACAAAAATAAAATCAATAAAATATATCATGCTTTTTTTCACGTGGTCTTGAAATAAAAATTCAAATAAACGAAACAAACCAAACACAACAACAAAAATAACGAAAAATCGAATATCTTTTGCACTACAATTACGCAAGTTATTGATTAATAATTTAATTTTTAATGCAAATGTTTTTTGTATCATATATCAAACGAATTCGTGATCTAAATTTTTATAAAAATTTTAAACAAATAATAGAATAATTTATAATTGGAATAATACAAATAACGAACGTTGCAAACATTAATTACGTCGTAAATTGATTAAATTATAAAAATATTCAATATCCCAGTTGCAAAGAAAATTCATTTGAAATACATTCATTTTTTCAAAATAGATTTGATTGAAAATTCATCCAAATTATTCCAATTGATATATAGTGTCATCTCATTGAATATTTATCAGTTTAATAATCATTAATATAGGTAATTTTAAAATAGACTTATACGATTTTTAAAATTTAAACCATTTATAAATTAATCAATTAATTGTATAAATCAAACATCTTTGAAAAGAGCAATTGATTAATTTAGCTTTTGAAATTGACTAGTTTAATACAAGCACTTAATCTTTTACTCGCTATATTTAAAATTTCACTCAACTGGTTTATATTATTATTTCAACAAGCTACTTTTCAAAGCTATTTATAACTTGGATGAATTTTCATATTTTCGCAATCAATAATGGATCTATGTAGAAATATTCGTATCAAATTAACATTTTCAATATGTGAGAAATATAATTTCAGTAAAACTTTAATCGAATGAAATTAAATTTCAAATTAGTTCGGCATACAATGAATAATAATAATACATATACCTCATAAATCAAGAGAATAAATTTGATATAATGTATATAAACATTCGCATAGATTCACGGTAGCCATAACACATTTGATTGAATATTCATACTTTCATAATCAATAACACGTCTATGCCCAAATATTTCTATTAAATTAATATCTCTAATTATTTTACACGTTGAAACGTTCGATCGACTGAAATCAAATTTCAAATTTAACTCTCCATGGTGTAAATAATAACAGATGCAATACAACAATATAACAAATATTTGTAACCACACTCAACACCATCCAACGAAATTTCCACTACCCTAAACCATCAAAAAAGAGGTGCACCAAAAACCAAAAACAAGGAAACCAATTTCCCCGCAACAGGCGGTTTAAAAAGTAGCTTGAGCCTCGCTGTTCTCCAAACGAGGGTTAATAACGGAACTATTGTTTGCATCCTACCACTATGCCCAACCACCAAAAGGGTTCTCCACCGTTCTTCCCTTTCTTTCCATTTTCCATCGGTATACGGGCCGCTGAACGAGTGTTAAATCATGCGTTTACAGGCTTCCACATGACGCCGAAGCTCAGCAAGATCTTTCCGGAATCCTGTTTGCTGATCGTTGTCGGCGTGGTGGTTGGTGTCCTACTGTTCCAGGCGAGCAGTGTCCACGTGTCGCCTCTCACTCCCGACACATTCTTCCTCTACATGCTGCCGCCTATTATCCTGGATGCTGGATACTTCATGCCGAATCGACTGTTCTTCGACCATCTGGGAACTATACTTCTGTTCGCCGTCGTTGGGACTATATTTAACACTTTGTCGATAGGTTGGTAAAAATGGATTCTATATACTTTGAAAGTATGTGCATGTGATTTTATTTTAATATTTGCGAGGAATGGAATGCGTTTTATTTTAATAATAATATTTAGATTATCATAAAAGGAGGAATTATTTTTATTTTAAAATTAGAAATATGGGTATAAATTTTATTTTTACTCGATAATTTCTTTTATTCTTCATTTATGTTTCATATTTGAAAATTAAAATAAGCTATTCTAAAATTAAGTAACGTCACCTGAATTGGTTCATCAATAATTCAATATTAATTATCAGGTAACGAAGAATTATCAGGTGCAGAGAATAAATCCTCTCTTCTTTTAAATAAGGAGTAATAATTTTAGTTGGATTGATCTTTTTTCTTTTATTTTCAATCTCCTCTTTGGAAAATGAGTGGATGAATTAAAAAGATCATGGATATGAATGTTCTTTTCCAATATAAATCGAGAAATTACTTTTTAGTAATTTCAGTAATAGTAATAAGTAATAGTCAGATTTTTTTTTTTTTAAAGAACTCTCATTGAAATGAGTAAATTTTCTCATTTTCTCTACTTTGTATTTAGCTTCATAGTAATATTTCCCTTTTTGATACTTTTATAACTTCTATTTTATTTAGCTTTTCTTTCCTTCATGTTACTTTTGTAGAAATGCATGATAAAGAATGATTCTGAAAACTGCTTGTGAAATTATTGATGCTGGTCCAGGAACACTTCTTTCTCGAACATAAGCGGCTTTTGATGCGATAAAATCGTGCAAGTGCACTTTACAGAGCTAATTAGTTCTCGTAATGGAATAAAAGATTCGTTCTTGATTAAATGGTAAAGTCTGTCAACACTTCACTAACAGCATCGTGTATTTTCACGTCATCTGAATGATTTACAGGAATTTTAACAAAATCAGTAACAATTTTATCAGTAGCAATTCTTTTATATCCACGCTCTTCTTATTCACATCAAAAATTCACTTGATATTATAAAAATAGTTCGACGCAATTAAATCATGCAATTCGGTAAATTCTTCCAATAAAATTCTTCAAATTCAATTATTTTATTATTATTATTTTTGTTAGCTTGTCTCTTCAGAACAAAAACTCGATAAAATAATTCTCACTTTCGATTATTATTGTGTATGCATCTTGCACAAATATACACATATTTGTTTATACTTATACATTTTTTTTTTAATTTACAATCTTCTTGAATCTCCTTCAGGAAAATTACGTAAGGAATTTTAGGATATATTTGGTTAATCGTTATTTCGAAGTTTAAACATATCAATATCAAGGGATTAAATCATAATTAACTTCGCTTTTTTAATGAAAAAAATCAACCACCATTTCGTTTAATATATATTTTACATATGTTGTATAATATTTTATATTAAATATATTTCATTCAGCTATGATTTTTACAATAAGAATAAAAAGAAGACTTCTTAATAAAAATTTACAAATTTTCGTTTAAAAAATCAAATTTATACTATTAAATTAATTCACATGAAGTCTTAATTTTTTTTTTAAATTAAATCTTTCTTTGTTCTATTATTATTCCATCATAAATATCTGTAACAAATTACAAAAACAGTATACAATACAGTATCCAAAAACTCGCAATCTACACGATACTCGTGGTTCGACTTAATATCCGATTATTTTCTGTATTTGAAGCTACTTAAGTCGATCACTTTCGTACGTCAATATCTTTGCAAAGTTTAGTCGGTCGATGTTTCGTAATCACCCAATGTACAGAGAGTCCCACATCTAGATCTGTATCGAGAGTGAAAAGCGGACGTCGAACCGCCCACGCAATTTCTGTTTGTGGCACGTGTCGTTCACGAAACGGCGCTTCGTTACGAAACGTTCTCTTACACGAGAGGACGATGATGTCCGCGATAATTAAAGACTCCACGTAGTTGGTGAGGTTTCTTACGGTATTATTATCATCGGTGAATTAATCATCGAAATATTTTACAGTGACGATTTTTATTCTGTCGATTTACTGATTCATCGATTCAATGAAATCGATACATGGATATCTTGTTTAGAATTCGTTATATTATATAGAGTCTAATATGATTCATGAATAGAATTGAGGAAGGATGATTGGTAGATTAAGAATATGACGAGGAAATGTTTAATATAAAAAAAGAAGAACACTCACGTTTAATATGTTTTATTATAAATTAAAATATAAATCACTGTGGAATTTATTTCATCATTTGTTCGCTGAAACTTCGTCAAAGATAAAATAGAAAGTTTTAATCATTGAGAAATTAAAATCATTGGATTAAGAATAGAAATGAGAACATACTATTCGCGTTTATTATAAATTAGAATATTCATACTATATATCGTATCATATTCATCGTTACAGAATTCATTCTGTTATTGATAGACAGGAAAAACCCAATCAAGGAAACAAATCATCGAATCAAATCGAAAAAGTAAATATAACAATATTCTGAAACTGATACGAGAATCGAAATAGAAACATATCTTCATAACTATTTTAATAATAAAAAAAGAACTAGTTTATGAGAATAAATTTTTATTCTATTTTTGTGATTGTCGTGTAACATTTTGCTAGTAATTTGTGTTTCAGTCATTAAGATCGCTATTTTTAGAAAAGATAGTAGATTGCACGCCCTCTCCTGTCAAAAATAATATGAAGATATAACGATAATATAACACGACAGTTTACGAAGTATGTACGTAAATTTACAATATATATATAATATTTCTAGTCATGCTGAAAATTAAAATATAAATTAAAGAAAAACAAAAAAAGACTCGATCAAACGATAAATAATTAAAATAAAAATTTCGATTTTTAGTTTGATGAATATTAATAAACCTGATAAAGTCTCATTTAGATTAATCAAATTCTTCGAATTCAATAGATTAGTGAACTGAAGTGAACTGAATACAAGTTTTAATTCAAGTTTGAATTCGTACAAATCAAGTTATTCGATTGAAGTCGTTTCGAATAGAGATAACCTAGTAACTTCGAATAATGAATATGTATAATGTGTATAATAATACCATTAAAAAAGTATTCAATACTAATATAAACTCTATTATAATGAGAAACATTGTTAAACATAATAAACTTTTAACAATTAACGAATGAATTATTAAAAGTTTGAAATAACTTTTTGTATCAATTTGTTGTTCAACAACAATTTTACGATACAGTTATTCTTTGTGTATTATAATACGTTGAACGAATATCTCTTCCTATTCGGAATTATCGTGTTCTCTACAATTTTAATTCCGTTTAAAAAGAGAGAATAATACGTCCATTAAATAATTTTTTCCAAAAAAAGAAAAAAAAAATACATATATTTAAAACGCAAACATATGAACATCTGTTATTGGCTCAAATCCAATTTTATCGAAAATTAATGGAATAATCTATAAAGTACTTAACATTCATAATTTAAAGCGGTTAAACGAGCTTACGAATGAAATATTTAACCAAATTATTGAAAATCCAACAACTTGCGTTTTGATCTTTTAATGAACTGTTTCTAAAATTTCAATAACTGTATTTCAATCGCATTTAATCGCATTTAATTTCAATTAAGCTAAATATTGAACGGATAAATATTGATTAACCAAAAATTTTAATATTTTTCTCTACTTTTCTTTTTTATTTTATTTATAAGTACTCTTTTAAATTGTTCATAGGTGCTTCGTTGTGGGTGTTGGGTAAAAGTGGCCTTTTCGGATTCGAAACACCACTTTTGCAAATGTTCCTGTTCTCCGCGTTGATCAGCGCAGTTGATCCTGTCGCCGTGTTAGCTGTCTTCGAAGAAATCCACGTGAATGAAATCTTGTATATCGTTGTTTTTGGGGAGAGCTTATTGAACGACGCTGTCACCGTGGTAAGTATTCTTTATGCACGATTTAAACAATTTAAACCAGATTAGATTTGTTTTAAATATAGTTCAGTGATTATTCAAAAAAAAAATGTAAAGAAAAAAAGAAAAACAAGAAAGTAGAAACGTAATATTTATATAATAATTCATAAATGAACAAAAATACTTAAAATATTATATTCTAAAATGATGTTTCTCTTGACGCTCGAATAATTTCGATTGAATCATTCTGTCGTTCGATCATTTATATTTACAGTTCGCTTAAAATTAACCCAAAATAAATGGATTCGTAGAATCTGAAAGAGCTGGGATAAATAATACGCTTAAATAGATACAGAAATGATACGATAGAGAGCATGAATTCTAATCAAATTACTCGACTACGAATAAAAGTTAAAATTGTTATTAGAATGAATTCAAATTTAATCTCAGTCCAAATTAGATAATCCTCGATCTGCCAATAACGATTATTATATTATATCAAATTGTACGATTTCCTTGTCCATAAGACCTCTTTTCATTGCAGTCTGATCCAATTGCAGTCTGAAAAATTTCTAATTAATTAATTAACTTCGCGGAATCTCTTAATCATTGGAACAGCTTAATAAGTTACGGTTGTTTAATGACACACAGGTGCTGTACCATATGTTCGAGGCTTACAACGAGATAGGGCCGACGGAAATACTCTACACGGACGTTCTCTCGGGATTGGCTTCGTTCTTCGTGGTGGCGATCGGTGGCACGATAATAGGGGTGATATGGGGCTTTGGTACCGGTTTTGTTACAAGGTTCACCCACCAGGTTCGCGTGATCGAGCCCATCTTCATATTCGTCATGGCTTACCTGGCCTACCTAAACGCCGAGATCTTTCATATGTCCAGCATACTGGCGTGAGTAAACTGATCCTCTTCTGGTGAATACTTTTTACAGATCGTGAAAGTTTAATGATCATTCGTAATTGGTATATTTTGAGTGGGTTTAAGAGTGTGGTTTCTAATGAAATGAAAAGAGTTAAAAAGTGGGAATCATTGTTTCTATGGTTGGAAACTTTCGAGATTCTTTTAATTCTATCAAAAAGATGATTGTTATTAATATTGATTGACTAGGAAATCTCTTTGAATTCTAGAGATTAAAATATTTTATATTTTAATTTTTTACGAAATAATGTTTCTTAGAAAAAAGAAAAAGAAAAGGAAAAAATAATAGTTTTGAATTTCGAAAGTTTTGGATTGGAAGAAAATTAAATTAAGACTCTAAATTATACATGTACATTATTTTAAAATTGTTATTTTACAAAAGGATGATCCTCTTAATTAATTAATTCAAAAGCAAGAGAAAGTTTACGATGTATTTGAATATTACAAAAGAGGGTTGGAAGTCAAAACAGATTGAGAAACACTTGTTTAAAGGAATAAGTAATAAATATTTATAAATTTTATTTCAGTTAATTTTTTTAATAATTTAAGATTTTCAGATTTAATTATTTCCATTTCCATATTTTAATTTTTGAGAATAATGATCATAAATTCTTTCAAAGAATTTCTCATTCAGTTTACAAATTTCCAACTTCATACTTGAATATTTTTTATAACGAAAGCTTGTAATTAGTATTGTTTGGAAACTTTGGTGACACTTGCAGATTATTTAGACAAAACTACACGAACAAACAAGTATACTTTCATAATAACTATTAAATACAATTAAGAGAGAATCTAATAAGTAGTTATTTCTATATTAAAATTTTCGAAACTTTCTCATGTAAAAAAAGAATATTTCTTGAGATTTTTAAACACGAAATATTTTTAATAAAACATTTCATGTTTCAAAATTACATTAATATATTCAGACCATTTCATTATTATTTCGCTTAATTTTTAATTTATATTTTCGTGAATTTTGACGACATATATACTCTCCATTTACAAAATCTGTTCGATTCTATCATCAATTATAACAATATTCTTCGTAATTTAAATAATAAAAATGAAATATAAAATATAAAAATAATAATATATCTCGAAACATTAGTTGGTAAACTTATATACCAGTCAAAGCCAATCTCGTACAGGTAATAAAACACAAAACTCGAGAAAACCAGTTCATCAACGAAACAACCCTGTAACATATGCAAATTTCCCTTGTTTACATCGATAAACCGAAAATGCCCTGCACGTGGCCACCGCGACCTAGAAATGTGCAACACGAGTGTGCCAACTCACTTCTCTCGACACGCTCTCGGCCGGCAATAAATTCCAAAAAGGACCTCCCAGCTCTCACGCGAATCGTTACATACATATATATAGCATATTCGATGAAACCTCGCCATGTTACCTCGCCATCCAAGGGCGAAACGATTCATCGATACGCTTTTAATCAATCTCTTGGAACTGTTCTTTAAACGAAACTTTGAAATTTTTTTCTCATATTTTTTTCCTTTTTTCTTTCTCTTCTTTTATTTATTTTTTTTTTTTTTTTCATTATCAAATCCTCGAACCGTGTCGTGGAAGGAAGAAAAAGGTTAAAGGGAAGCCTGACTCTTTTCGTGATCGTCGATTTACTCGATAATTCGCCCAAGGCTAAGTCTTTATTAAAAAGGAGAAAAAAAAAGGAGAAAGAAGGAAAGTAACAGATCGTCGTTATAAATGCTCGAAAACCCTACGATAGCAGCACGATTCTCGTTAAGTCTATTATTTACACGTTTCCTGGGGAAGTTGGTAGCGATGATCGATCCCGATGCAAAGTACGCCCTGTGTAATAACTGTTCAAATATGCTTAACCCGTAATCGCTGCTTCTTGCTCAGCTATCGTGATTTTTTTTTTCTTTTTATACGATTAAACAGTGTCATGTGTTCGATTGACGAACAAAAGGATTTTAAATAAACGAAGGATGAGTGTGATGTAGTTATAGTGGAACGATGATTTATTTGTTTAAAGAATGTGATATGTGCAATATTTGGACAACGAAGAGAAATAGATCGTTAAATGGAAGATATTGTACTTTTAATTTACTTTATATATGTATTTACAATTGCTCTTAAAAGTAAAGTAGAACACAGTAAAACGCGATACTTCTATAATACGAAGAATTGAGTTACCATTTTATAACGAGATTAAGGAAAATTTGGAAAATAAATATATAAATGAAGAATAGGCAAATTCTAAAACTGAAGAAAATTCGATTTGATGAAGAAATGAGACTAATATTCCAAAAAATGAAATATAATCTTATATTAAATTTAAATTATTTAATTTAAATCTTATATTTAATTTAATAATATGCTCGAATAATTTTGCGAATTCAAACTGAATGAACTGTTTTCAAGTAATCTTGTACCAATATTTTTAGAAGTGGCTGGAAATTTTGGAATTTCATCAGAAATTTTTGAGAATATTAATTCAGAAATATACAATACAAAATCGAAAAGAATTCAATTATTTATTATTATTTCTAGAAGGATCGAAAATTGGAATAAATATTAAAAGATATAAATGTAAGATATTTTTTTTTATGATGGAGATATTTAACCCAAGTCACGTTTCATATTTTATCCCTACTCTATTTGGAGTTCTTACTTACTTAGTTATTTTAGAAACTGTTCAAAATTTGACTACATTTTCATATCTTTATTAAGATTTACGCGTATATTATACATGTTCCTATGAAATAAATTAATGAACTTTATTTTAAAAGATTGTATTTTATATATTAACGAAAGTAAAGAGTTCAGCTTGATGTAAAATTTAAAAAACAAAAAACTAATATTAAATTCTTTTATTCCATTCTTTATTTTATCTTTCTCTAATAATAATAATTTTATCCTAGTTTTATTCATTCAAAAATTCGCAAATTATATTTATTTAATATCCATATTTTTATTAATTCATGTTATTCACGAGAACGAAGATGAGAGTTAGTTCCATCTTTGAATAACAAAAATTATTCTAAATATAATTCATTATATACTCAACATTAAACACACAATTTCATTAAGTCAGAATTAAATTTCCTTGCAAGATAATGTAAGACATTCACGACTGACTAGACACATGTACGCCAATTTCCAAGAGGTTAAATCCCTATCAAATTTCCTCTCGCCACACATTAACAAGTGAATCATGGATGGATCTAAACTTGGATCCAAATAGTAGTCTCCAGTCAGACGTACGCACAAATTTCCAGTACGTATGTGTACAACGGTCGCATCCATATCGTAAATCGAATAGACGCCTCTAGCCGCCGATTTCGTAAACCCTCGGATCGTACGTTCGAATTAATTTCAACGACGTTTACGAAACGTACCGACTACGATCGATACGCGAACTCGAATCCACCCTCGCGCCATATTCGTCCCCTTCGTGTTGTCCACTTCTCCCCCCATCGATTAACCGTGACCTCTCCTTTGTCACCAGGATCACCTTCTGCGGCATCACCATGAAGAATTACGTGGAGGCGAATATATCGCACAAGTCGCACACCACGGTCAAATACACGATGAAAATGCTGTCAAGCAGCTCGGAAACCATCATATTTATGTTCCTCGGGGTGGCGACCGTGAACAACCATCACGACTGGAACACGTGGTTCGTCGTCATGACCATCGTCTTCTGCTCGATCTATCGCATCGTCGGTGAGTATACGAGTCACCCCATCAAGGTTGGGGGTGTGAAATCATCAATTGTCCCGCAGTTTGTCATACAAAGAACTCGTGACAGTAAAGTGGTTTCACGTGGATGCAATCGATGCGTCAAACTGGACGATACGAAACTGGATTAAGTGGGGTAGGTCTTGTTAATGGTATCAAGAGATAAGGGGGGAGTCTTAAGGTTTAAACCGATTCATGGCTTATCGCGTGTCACTTACTTAGCAAAACGGTTACGCGATCGTGCCAAGAATAGGCGTTTCTTGCGCTTTGGTATTTGCCTTTTTGTTGGATAACGAGGCGGGATGATGCCGGGAAACTTGGCACGTGCCACCCCCGGGCATTGTTTCGTATCGTTTCGGATAATTTGGATAAGCAGAAGGGGTGAAGATTAAGTAGTTCGGTTGGGATAGAGTTGTGTTTTGCGAGGATGATTGCTTTACCGTTTTGGCGATATTAGCTTCTTAATTCTGTAAAGTTGAACGAGAGATTCATTTTGAGAGACGATGGTAATTTCTGAAGTGGTTTTTGTAGAGTATTGGTCAATAGATAATTTGGTCAATAAGTATTCGGCCATGATGTATTCGACGTATAAATTTGTCATCAATATTCTATTAATAAGTTTATACAGGATGGCTAATTTCCATTTAGATGGTCTACTATATAATATGATCCTGAAATATTGATGGAATAATGATTTTCAAGACGAAAACTTTTTAAAAACTGTTGAATTTATCGTAATTTTTTTGTGAATTTGTATATATAGAATAGATCTTCACAATTCCATTATAAATAGAACTTACACTATTTTTTTCAATAACTATCTTCAAAATTTAAGTAAATTTATAATACATATTACACATAGTATAATATCATAATTACAATAAGTTTATTATTGTAAAGAATTGCTTTACAAAATACAATAATTAATTATAAAAAAGATAGCATAAAAATTTATAACATTGTATCCAACTTACTTTTTAGAAAGAATTTCTATTTTTATATTTATAACAAGAGATTTATAACGAAACGTATAAAATCAAATGTAATATTACAAAGGTAAAATTTCATGTTACTTTGCAGGATTTGCAAAAGGATTAAAAAATAAAGTGAATGAAACAATGAAAAAGCAAAGAAGAAGAAAAACTTTTTGAAATATTAAATTTTTACATTAATATAGATCTTTTAATGGACATTTCAGTTGTACTTTTCTATTTCTGTTCTAAATAATTTAATTATTTAAATAGTATCAATATCGAGATTGACATTTACCATTAAAATAAACGAAAAGAATAGTCTTGAGAAAACTCGAACTTTTCTAATCTATCTTCTCGGTTAAATCGTGAAATATCTGGAAATACTCTTAACAAGATTCGTCTAGCTTCTTCCGCAACCACCAGTTTACATCAGGGCTTACTGTCACGGGCTTATGGCTTCCTGTTCCATCGACGGTTTATCGCTAAATCGCTGGCCACTAGCTGCACTTAAAAAATTCATCGTCATCCCTATGTAGTCTGAAAATATCCTACTTTTTTCAAATCCGGATATTTCATTTTTTTTCTTCTTTTTTTTTTCTTTTTTTTGCGAAATAGGAGTCGCGATTAACTATAGCCTTTCGTTGTCAGATTAAAACAACGATTAACTTCAATTTTTCACTGTCACGTAAAGAATAAAAGCTGACATTTTTCGTGAATAAAAAAATTTCCTCTTTTTACAAAAGAAAATTATTTTTCTTTATGATAAAAGATAAACGATAGATTTTTTTATCGTTTGTCGTTGTAACATAAAAAAAAATATAATGGAAAAATTATTGCGAGTGGATTTCTTACAAATGAATCAATTTCTATAAAAAAAAATCTTTTGTACTATTTCATAAAAAATTGAAAATGTTAATTATCTTTTTCTTTACAAGAAAGTTTACAACAGTTTTTTCACTATCAATTAGAAATTGAAATTATCAATTATTGTAAACAGAAATGCTTCTTTTTATAGAAGAACAATTTACAATCAATCACAGTTTTCCAATTTTACACGTAAAAGAGGAAACCTAATAATATTTATTGCAAACAGAGGTAGAACCTAGAAATAAATCTGTGGTCAGATGACAAAGCCTGATATGTCATGTTTTGCTAACTTTACAGTACAGTAACTTTAAAGTTTGTTCAGCTATGAAAAATCACAATGTTTCTCAAATATAAAATTTGTCCTTTTCCCTTTTTTTTTTTTTAAACTACATGCTATCTTTGACAAACTAACATATATTATAGATATACATGAAAATGTATATATATCTCAATTAAAAAAAAAAAATAAGATAAATACATGTATATCAAATTTTGGCATTTGACCGCGGAAATAATGGCTAGATTTCATGTAACATGCTGTTTGTAAAGGGTTGAATGCGCTGACTTGGATTGAAATGGATTTTCAGGCGTGATCTTCTTGACAGCGTTGGCTAATCAATTCCGACTGCACAAGCTGAACAAGGTGGAGAAATTCGTGATGTCTTACGGTGGTTTGCGAGGTGCCGTAGCATTTGCTCTGGTCTTACTGATCGATCCGAAACACGTGTCTTTACAACCGATGTTCGTCACTACCACGATCGCAGTCATTTATTTCACAGTATTCATACAGGTAAGGATGCAATAATATTTCTAAATTGTTTAATTAACTAATTTCGAAGCATGATAACAAAAGAGATTGAAGAAAATTAAATATTACGTCTTCTATTTCCACTATCAGTTAACTTTTAATTATGAAAACTATTGTTGAATCAGTTGAAGAATATCAATATTAATTTTAATAGAATATAATTTGATTTTCGATCAATTTCTTTTTACTTTTTTCTTCATATATTTTCCAAAAGTTTTCTAATATATTTAGAAATGTTAAACTAAATAATCTTCGATATTTTATAAATTACGAATAGTTAAATAAAAGATTCATCATTTTGATAAGTTTCCTAATGCCATTATATCTTATACTAATATTTTTAATATTTTTAAATATATTTCGATTCAATGATTCTTCGAACTTAACATCCATCGATTTTACAACGCATATATTTATATAACTAGTTTTAATATTTATTATTATATACCATTTATCTGGAAATGTCTCCAGATATCAGTTGAATAAGTATTATTACAGTTGCGATGTTAAATGACAAGGATGGAAGCCGAGCCACAAAGTTCGAGTCAACATTTCCTTGTATTCGAAGTGGTAGGATAACGTGGAAAACTTTTCAAGGGTATTTGCCTTAAAAGAAGACATTTAAGCAAATAGAAAAGATTTGTGCATTACGTTTTCTTTTCGTTTTCGACCATTGTTGCGTGTAATTCCCCATCGAGGATACAGAGATCGTTACGTTTCCTTTTACGTACGCCATTATAACTTCATGGTTGCTCTTTACGTTTTTTCATTTGCATTATTCCCAATACATACGTAGAATTGTTTCGTGCACAACACTGGTTGTTTAAACCAATAAGGTTGAACGGTGATATAAACTTTCTTCCTGCAATAGTGAAAAGTTTAAATTAAACTTCATCGTAATGATGAACGATACTCTTCTCGAATCTCTTCTTTACACGAAGTACGTGAAAAAATAATAATAAACGAGATCCTCCCTCTCGGTTCAGCGAGGGAATGACACGATAACAGGGAACATCCCCTTTTTCTCTAAATCAACATTTCTTTCTCCGAGAGGGAGCTCGTTGTTCGCGGCAAGTAAACTTTGAGAAATGTTGATTCAGACTCGAAGAACTATTCATTGGCTCTGCCGGTTTGGCGAAGCTATTCTTACGAATTTTCTCAATTTCCTCGATTCTAATATGGCGGCCGATAAGTGGAGTTCACGTGATTCGAAAGTTTGTCACGAATAAATGAATTTTTCAAAACTTTAACATTAATTATTATTAAGGATGGTTTAAAAGGTTCGAAAGTTAAATTAAAAGGGTTTTCCAAAGTTCAAGATGGTGTCCTTTAATGTTTCTCCTATCAATTTTTGATCCATTCGCGGAATTAAATAAAGCTTGAATGAAGTGGGATTTTTAAATTGGAGATAAACGATTCTTTTTTGCAAGTAATTTTTAACTGTTCGTAGAATTAAAATACGACTTAAATTTAACGAAATACAATATAATTATTTTATAAATGTTTTATAAATTATTTTAAAATATAGATTACGTATTACGATATTCATATTTCCTATCACCTATACTATTAAATATTAATAATACGTATAAAAGATTCATTGCAAAAAAAGCATTATTAAATTACAATTTATAATAAAACGTGGAAGTTTTAAAAAATTTCAACATCTTTTATTTTATTTGGTAAAATTGAAAAATAAAATTAAAATCTTCGATAGCTGAAAACAGTTCATAAACCAAAAAATTCTGTTCAGATGAAAAATAATGATGCCCAAGAGAGA